TTTATCTTAATGCCATTTTCTGCCTATGCATGAAAAATAGCTGTTTAGCCCATTTGCTATGACAAAAGTTATGCGTTGCTTTTCTTTAAATTGGATTGCTTTTTAGTGTTTCTTTTTTATTACAAAACTTCAAGAACAGGAAGATGATATGTGATAATTCTGTAATAATTTCATTTTTGAATATTTGAATACTCTTTCCTCTAGATGAAAACTTGATCTAGCAAATAAAATAAGTATCAACTGAATAAAAATGTTTATTGTTCATTAGTTTTAATACTATACATTTTGTACTTTGGAAAGATCAGCAAAATAGAAATTAATCCTAAACAGGCTTTTTATATATTCTTGTGTTTGTTTTCCCCACACATCAAAGCAAGTAATACATTTGATTAGAAATGGTAATTATGTTTCCAGCTGGACATGGAACACAAAATATTCTTGCCCTTGCTTTGTTGACAAACCTGTATGATTCTGTCCAGATAAGGCTATTTCTGTGAAATCTAGAGAAGTATTATAACGAAACGCTTTTGCCCAGGGACTGGCAACCTATGGCCTGGGGCTGGTTAAGGCCCTCCTGGACTTACCGGCCCAGGCCGAAGGTTGCCGCCGCGGCGCGTCACCACCTCCGTCGCGGTGCATTTTTGCCACTCTGTGGCCGCGATTGCCATTTTGGAAATCAAAATGGCGGTCACGACACGTTTGCGCATGCACAGTACTCTTGCGCATGCACAAACGCGCTGCAGTTGCAGTTTGGACTTTCAAAATGGCAGTCATGACATGCACCGTGGCGGCTGCGGCTGCGCACGCTATGGCCACGGCAGTGACCGCGTGCGCCGCCATTCCCCCCCCTCGGCCCAGCCGAGACCTGGGCTATGGGAGACCAGCCCAGGTCTCAGAAAGGTTGCCTGCCCCTGCTTTTGCCTATCCATTTTTTAGGAAAATTTCCACAAATGATCTATAACAGGCTAGTAACTGCCCAGCTCCAGCTCCCTTGCAATGCTTTTACAAATTGGTGTGAAGTCCAGGTACATCTTCACTGATATTATTGAAGTTATGAATCTACACTGCATACAATCCTTTTCAATGTGGTTCTTTCTCTCACTGTGAATTTTGCGTCAAGCATGTAGGATGGATATAATTCACAGTGGAGTGGGCTTTTTCATGCCCAGAGATGTAAGACTAGAGATGTATGATTCTTACTATATGAAACATGTGCTGTTGAACTAGGGTTATGCAAATACTATTTCTTTGAGTAGTGAGTTTTCAGGTGTTCCTGTGTTATTCTGGATCAGTTTCCTTTGAATGAGGTTACAGGAAGCATATTGGCATTTTGTACCAAGTATATTGTGCATTTTGGTTGGCCAATAAAGATATCACTGATGGATTTTTGTTTGAATTTACTAAATGGCCAACACAGCTACCCCTGAATGTTTTTGCCATTTTGTAGTTTCTTTCCCAAGCCTGAAAAAGAGGCTAGTGCGCATGTGTTTATGTGGCCTGGCGTTAACCATTATTTATTTTTATTTACAAACATTGTTCCCTGCAAAATATCCTATAATATTTTTATTTTGTGTTTCGTCTTTAAAATAGAACCATGGTGAGATGGAGCAGATGGGAAATAAATGTTATATATAAACATGTATTTCTGTTCCCCGAAATGATAATAATTTGACATACAAGAATGTAATAGCACTTTCTTTTCTGTCAGAAGTGAGGGAGACAGTCATACATAAGCAGAGAAATTGCCACTATTCACATCTCCACTGATACTCTCTTAGATGCTTATCGTGGGCTTTAAAAAGTATATATTTAAGCAGCCATCATTCTGAACAGCTAAGTGTTCATTTCATTGGCTTGTCAGTCACTTTCCTATATTATGACATGTTACCCTCCACCGTCCCCCAAAAGGATCATTTTGCCTAGCAGCAGTATATCTACTGTTAAATGTATGTTTAATTTCAGTCATAGATGTCAAGTTTAGCTGCATCAGACTGGAATCAGGTGGTCAAGTAAATGGCACTGAACTAATTTAGCAGATGTCTGAACATCTACAGTTGTCTCCTAAAAGTAAATTGAGGCTAAATTCAGTGCATTGGATAAACTAGCCCAAATGGTTCTGCGAGTTTATGTAATCCTTCAGTACCTGTAATATGCCCAGACTAGGACCCAGCACTGCTGCAAAAGGCTTGAATTTGATGAAATTATTTGGATATAACATTCTGCATCTCCAAGCTGAATTGTTTAGAAGCAGTGTTTTGTTGTTGTCGTTTAATTGCATATGAGGCGAAGTAAAGGTAATGCAGTAATAATCCCCGCAAACTTTTAGTGACTTTGTTGAAGCAAAAATTGTGACTAAATCAAAATTGGCTTCTGATTCAATCTAATCAATTTCACCACTCCATTGATCTATATGAAAATGAGGAAAGTGTTACAATGAGATAGGAATTATCCGGGTTTTTCTGTCCAGATTTTTCTGATAACTTGTTCAACTAGAAGTCAGATGATGTTTTTAGTTTTTAGAAGAGGTGCTGAAAGATGTCTGTCATATCATTCAATGTTCATCATATGCATTTAGTGGGCTTAATTCTGTGATTGGTTATTGGAAGGTAAATACAGCCTTGATTTGGCGATCTGATAATGAAGCAGATATCTCTGAGGAAATTCTATTGTAGAAGAAAAAAAACATGAATTTTATCCAGGGGATAATTTAAAATATTTGCTTTGACCCTAGGCACATGACAAATTCCAGCTTTCTATGTTTGGGTCGACTACCTTACCAAGTGACTGAGGATATTCAAACACGGAATCCTTAAAGTAATCTAATTTTCATTACATGTTGTTTCTTATAATGATTTTTAAGTTTGGTCCTCCAGATATTTTGAATTTCACCTCTCATATTCCTTAACCATTTGCCATGCTAGCTGGGGCTTTTGTGAGTTGATATTCAAATCATGAGAGAAGACCAAAGACTTAAGAAGCACAGCTATAAGGGATTGTCCTACAGTTAGCTTGATAGTGAGCCCTTGGTATCCTCTGGGTTTTGGTTCCAAAATGTATTTAATGGGATGTTCAAGTCCCATTACGTACAGTGGCATAGTTAAATAGTATCCCTTATATAAAATGGCAAAATCAAGGTTTGCATTTTTGGAATTTATATATTTTTAAAATATTTTCAAGCCATGGATAATTGTACTATTACCTACTTTGCACTATTAAACTGTATTTTAAAAATAGCTCAGAACCCTACTTTTTAATATCAATTGCTTGTGTAACCACTCACTACTAAACTACCAGAAAGGAAAAAAAAGAAATCCCTTAGTGGATTAGTTCTGGGTTGTTGTTTTTTTTTTTATTAAACAGTGCAATTTTCATCCTTTTACATGGCTGCATCTGAGAGAGAAGCAATGCAATGTATTTTGCTCAGTGCTAAAGCTTTCAGGGGAATCCAGGTCTCTAATAAAAATTATAAAAAATAGTACATAAAATAGTACAGATGAGAAGTAAAATAATATGATATCAGATAAATATAAATTTTGTTGAGAAATCAAACATAATCATTAAGGAATAAAAATGTATTCAGGAGCCTCATAAAAGCTGCAAGAGAGCTGGAGACACTTTCTCAGGAGAGAGCCACCCACAAACGCAAGTCTGTTACTGAAAAAGTCTCTATTCTCAGTGCATGATCATACTTACTGGCAGGCCTGAGAATAGGGCCTGTGAAGATGATCATAGGGCTCAGGGCTGATTCATAAGATTGTGAGTAGTTCTTGAAATTCTCATCTATCTTCCCTTGTGGTCACTTCCAAAGATGGTATGCATAACAAAGATCATTGCCAAATTAATCACGTCAGACGACCTCAACAGTCTTACTTAACACCAGTGTCTCCAGTTTCAATGCTGTATTTTTCTAATAGGGAGCCAGCATGGTGTAATGGTTTGGATGTTGGACTAGGACTTTGGAGATCAGGGTTCAAATCTCTGCTCCACCACAGAAACCAACTGGATGATCTTGGCTAAGTCACACTCTCTCAGCCTCAAAGGAAGGTAATGGCAAACTCCTCTGAACAAATCTTGCCAAGAAAACCCCTTTATAGGCTTACCAGGGTAACCAAAAATCAGAAATGACTTGAAAGCACACAACAACAAGAACAACAACACATTTTTCTAATGGATTACCTTAATGCCTTACGCTTCAGTGTGATAGGTAGGGAAGTCTGTCTTCTTTTTACACACACTATCTCACAAAGGGACCCTAGGTAACTTATAGCATATTGGGATAGGCATTTTTACCCAATGAATCCTTCCAAATTATCTAGTGTGGAGATTGCCACCTAAGGCTGCATCAGCACAGCAGAAATAATCAATTTTGACATGACTTTTACTGCCATGGGTTAGTGTTACGGAATTCTGTGAACTGTAGTTTTGTGAGATATTTAGTTTCCTTTGTCAGAGAGCTCTGGTGCCAGAACAAACTACAATTCCCATAGCATTGAGCCATGGTACTTAAAGTGGTGTCAAACTGGATTATTTCTGCTGTGCTGATGCAGCCCAAGTCCTCTAAAGGTTCAAATCCATACTTAATGCAATGAATTGAATCCATATACTTGCCCATGAAAGAGAGTGTGTGGAAGTTGTCTTTCCGGCCCATTTCTCTCTCTTCTCTGCTCAAAATAATAATTTTAAAACAGAAACCCTGAGTTTTTGAGACCCCTGGTGCGTGGAGTGTTACGGTCTGTGGCACAAAGATGATGAAGGGACAAGGAGAATTCATATATAAATCAGAGTAAGGCAAATTTCTCCCTCTGTTTTTCCACAGCATTTCCTTCTCTCTGCCCATTCAGCAATCCCTCAAACCTCATGAAAGCATTCTTGGGGGACTCCGGGAAAGGTAGCTCCCATTGGTTTCCTTCTGTGGGTAGAGAAAGAGAACTCTTATGTTTCTGGAAGATACTAAAGCAATACTGGGATTCTTTCCAATTGTTTTTTATTTTAAAGGTAGGGCCAGTGTAGTGCAGTGGTTTGAGCGTTGGACTACAACTCTGGAGACCATAGTTCAAATCTCTGCTTGAGCATAAAAAAAAACAAAAAACCACTAGGTGACCTTAGGCAAGTCACACTCTTTCAGCCTCAGAGGATGGCAATAGCAAACTTCCTCTGAAGAAACTTGCCAATAAACCCCTATGATAGGGTCATCGTAAGTCAAAAATGACTGGGAGACACACACAACTATCAAAGCAAAAGATCTTCAGTCAATACTTGCTCAACAACCTGTGACTTTATGACTGGAGATGCAATGCTTATACAGATTGGGAGAATAGCCCTAACCAAATGGGAAATGCAGCAGCATTTTAATGTATAGACACATTATTATTATTATTATTATTATTATTATTATTATTATTATTATTATTTCAAAGCTGGTTTTATGTATTTAAAAACCAATAACTTCATTGTTCTTATTTTTCTGTGGCACTGTGAACTAGTAATATCAGGAGAGTTTGAATGGGTAGGAAAAAAAATGGCTTTTTGCTGCTTTGCCAACCCGCTTCCATGTCTTCTTGCTTTCTGATTTTTCCCTCCCCTTTTAAAATGGCATTGCATTTTTGAAAAATGGGAAACTTGCATCATTCTTCTTTGGCTGTAGGGAACATTTATCATCTGGAGATGATAAAGAATGACATTTCACAGACTCCCTGTCAGAAAATGGGAAGTGGCTGCTGGTGATAAAGTTAATTATTAATGGAATTGGAAACTAGGCTTTCCTAGCCACAAGCACCATCCTCAATCTGCTTTTGGCTTTGTAACAGGAAAATACATAATCGGACTCACTGCTGCATCACAAAATTACATCCACACTATACAGCCTTGGCTAGAATCTTGATCATGGTTAAATGTTTGAGATCTTGATCTAGCAGATTGGGCTTACTGAAGAGGAAATGAATTAAAACTAGTGCAACCTTGTGCCTGTTCCTTGAGACATAAGATCTGACCACTGTAACACATACCTTGATCACATCCAGATTGGATTACTGTAATATTCTCCACATGTGGCAGACTTTGGAAACTGTTCAGAAACTTTAGCAGATCCAAAATGCTGCAGTAAGGATGTTGACAGAGGCTGGTTACAGGAATATATAACCCCTGGCTTCACTGGCTATTATTCTCTTTCTGGGCAGAATTCAAAGTGCTGGTTATGAGCCTTAGAACCATTTGATGATCAACCACAAAATAATGAGACCAGACACAAGACATTGGGTTAAACAAGGCCACTTTATTTGATCTAAAATCTATTTAAACTGAACCTGGAGAGCAGCAACAAAAGTGGGGGAGCAACCTGATGTGAGTCCAGGTGAGGCCCAGGTGTCAATCTGTGGTCCCTTGGGCGAACCACCTGGCCCTGAGGGCAATCCAAATCATTGGTTGCTCCCCAGACAGCTGTTTCCTGGAAGGTAAACCAAGGGCACTTCCCCCACAAGTCTGTAGACTTTACAGGAGAGAGCAAAACAATAACCAACCAAACCAAACAAAACAAAAAAACAGTCAATCCCAAGGGGGGTGGCTATATCCCCACCTCCCAAGCCCCCCAGCCAGTGGAAGAGGTTTTATAGCCCATCCCTTCACCAAAAGGGTGCCAAGGTGTATACCAAAAGCTGTGAATGACAACCTATTTATAGAACCACCTGAGCCAATTGACAATGTCCTACTGATACAGTGCAGGGTAGGCAAACCCCCCCCCCCCCCAAAACAAAACATGTAATAGGCCCCGAAGTGACCATTAGAACTCACACTGCACAGAAGGTGGGAGGATGGGTCCATACAAATCTCCAAAGAGAGCTTATGAAGAGGCGGTGGAGCCATAAGAAACCTCTGTCTCTGCCCTCACAAGTTATAGCCTGGCAGTCTTTGCACCAGCCAATCAAATCCTGTAGCATCTGCAAGGTGCCCAGGCTCGGGCATGAAATAGAGTTTGGGCCCACACTGTCGAAAAGACCACATCTCCCTATATGAGCCTGTCTGGGTTTCAAGATCCCTTTGGGGGAAGATTTCTTTTGATCCCACCACCATCACAGGCCCTTTTGGTGAGAACCTGGGAGATAGCCTTTTCACTGACTGCTCCAAGATTATGGAATTCCCTCCTGAGGGAGTTCTAGTTGATCTCCTTCTCCTTTCCTTTCATTGACAGACTAAGACTTCTTTATTCAGGTAGGCTTCTGGTTGAAAATCTATGTGACAAGAAAAAGTGTGTGGTTTTTTGGTTTGTTTGTTTTTTTAAAAAAAGACTTTACCCCTTGTAAAATACCCACTTTACCTCTTTTGGCAGTAGTATCCAAAGGGGAACCTCAGAGAATGAGCTCAAATACAGGTTCTTGCAAACACAGGTGGTAAGGAAAGCAATCCAGAGGAGGAGGAGGTTCCTACCTTTTCCCCAGTTTGAGACACAAATCAGCTTAAAATAGATTTCAAAAACATAGGCTGCATCCACACTGCAGAAATAATCCAATTTGACACCACTTTAACTGCCATGGCTCAGTGCTCTGGAATTCTGGAGATTGTGGTTTGTTGTGATACCAGAACTCTCTAACAGAGAAAGCTAAATGTTTCACAAAACTGTAGTTCCCGGAAATCCAGAGCATTGAGCCATGGCAGTTAAAGTGGTCCCAAACTCGATTATTTCTGCAATGCAGATGCAGCCATAGTTTAACATTTTCAAAATACAAAAGTTAAAAAAATGATTACCTTATCCTTAGTCATTTAGGATATTTCTTTTTTTCTTTTCTTTTCTTTACATAAGTGTACTTTCATTCCTGCATTCCTGGTGATGGTTTCATCTTCATAGATGCAAGAATGCTGAAGATTCCCCCCGCCCACACACACACACACACAGATACATACATTTGCTGTTTTGTCATGGAGTTGGTATGCATCTGAAACTTGGGGAATAGTCATAGCTCAGTATATGGAGAAGCTCCCCATATCTCCAATTATGAGAGCATTTGATAGGTGTTCAGGAAAAGATAATGGCTGACCTGACAGAGGATTATAGGAGATGCAGTCCAACACATCAAGGAGGGCACCAGATTGATGTGGGCAGGTAATGGACAGACAGTACTCTACTGCATGAACAGTACTGGTGTGGCACAATGTGAGGCAGCTTCATATGTTCAAACATCAAAATTTAAGAAGGGCCCTTCTGGATAAAGACTTTTCTAGCCAAACATTTTGTTCACACAGTGGCCAAACAACAGCTGGTGGGAAGCCTATAGACAGAACAAGAGTACAGTAGAACATTTCATGTTACACAGCAGCTGACATAAGAGTCACACAGTCTCAGTTACTGGATGTGATCTATAGCCATCCTGCCTAGTAGTTGTTAGCAGCCCTAGTAATTGCTAATGGTCCTACATGAATTTAACCCCTTTTAAACCGGTACAAGTTGGCAGTCATCAGTGAATACCAGAGACAGTCCTAAATTTACACTGAGACATTAGGAATGTATACAGTCGTTTGTCATTGTTGTTATGGCTTATTTCAGTCTATAATGATGATGAATGAGAGACATCCAAGTGCCATCTTCATCAACAGCTTAGCTCAGGTCTTGCAAGCTCAGAGCTGCAGCGTGCTATATTGAATAAATCCATCTTCAATGTATACTTCCTCTTTTCCTACTGTCTTCCACTTTCCCCAGCATTATATTTTTTTTCTAATGAGTCACGCCATGTCATGATATGTCCAAAGTATGATAATCTCTATTTATGCAGTCATGGGGAATTTAAATATCTTCTGTTATTCTAGTCCCTCAACGGTTGTACACCTTACTCCCACCTCCATAATTTCCAGTTCTAAAATAAGCAAACTGCTTTAATCCAAAATAGCACCTAATTTAACATTTCACTGAAGCTGGGAATATGTCATGCCCCACTTCATTATGGAGGTGATTGGGATCCAGCCAACCTTTCATTTTCAGTCTGTCAGGAGAATTCAGTCGACATTACCCTTATGTCAGAGACAGATTGCACGGGAAATATCCAAGAAACTGATCCCCATGGAGAGGCAAAAGTAAATTTTAAAAGCTCCAGTGATCTGTTATACAACATTACATTTAAGAGTATCAAGTGAGAAGCCTGCTTGAAACTGTTTCAAAGAGGGTCTTTTGTAAGTGCCAAACCCGATTATTAGAACTGTCTGCTTTATCCTTCCATGTTAATATAGTGGAAAAGTTGTGCCTGTGTTAACAGATGAGAAATGCCATTGGATTTGTTAAAGCCATAATAACTGGGTTTGTGGGGTGTAGTAAGGAGAGAGGGAAGGGATCATTAACCTGAGCTGTATGGACAGTTTAAAGGACTTTAGAGGAATAACTGCCAGATATACTTCTTAAGATCTTCAGTCTCCTGGTAAAGATCCCTGAAACCTATTAAGTTTTATCTGGCTGAAATAAGAGGGCAATTTTAATTCCCTTTGATCTCAAAGTCAAAATGAAAACAAGAAAAATAATTAGAGGACTAGATATTAGGAACATAGAACCTGACCCTTTGTGGTGTACACTCATCCCTCCATATTTGTGGAGTTGACTTTTGCAGATTTGATTATTCACGGATTGTATTAATATGTTCTCTCTAGGAATATATAAGTGCTCCAGTGCAACTCTATGGTCAACTTTAACCAAAAGTTGCACTGAA